TTATTTCCAAGTTTTGTGCATATAGTGGAATACTTATTTTAATTTTATCTTTTGAACAAGGCAGACAGCTTGATTAAATGAAAATGATTACTTTATCTTACGATGGAATACTGACGAGTTAGGTGTGTTGCAATATTGACAAGTTGAGAAAACTTTTTTATTTCATAAAAAAAACATATTTGTTAGCGAAGTAAAAAGGAATTTTTACTTCACTAAAAAATTTTTGGTTTAAAAAACACATAAAACGCAATATCCCTTATGCGCATGCGTAAAATTCTACTTTGCTGCTGTGTAGCACAAAAGGGTGAATTAGGATAATTACGAGTATTTTCTGGCATTTCTAAGGGAAGACTCCAAGGTCAAATGAAATTGTCAAGTTACCCTTGATGCTAACCAGCCCCATCCTCCCCTATGCCATCATAGGAGCAGTAGTTGCCTATGATGGCATACTTGTGCTTTTTTTTTTAAATAAAAACAACTAATAAATACTAAAGCTGATGGAAGCTGCTAGGGTTATTATTTTTCTACATGTAACAAAAAATGTATCCATATCAAAACTTTTGTTCTTGGTCTTTAGGATACAGAATAATGAAGCTTCAAAGTTAGGTATGCCATCATAGGCGCCTTTCCCTTACCTAGAATAAGCATTATCACTAACTTTTTAAACTTATCAACGCGGATTTCAATGAAACGATTTTTTTCGCGTAAAGCGAATTTTTTTTGTCATTAAGCATGCGCAGATAAAATATTTCTGTTAATTTTGACAGAGATGTTTTATCAGCGCATGCTTATCGACGAAAAAAATTTGCTTCGCGCGAATAAATTTGTTCCGTGGAAATCCGCCTTTAGTAAAAAGAATATTAGTTCTTACAATCATTTGGACAAATTTTAGTAAATTATTTTTACTAGAGAAATTTAAAAATAATTTAAACTTTAAATCCAAAACTCATAACAAGTTAGTTTTTCACTTCTATCCAACTAGTGCGAGAATGCAGGTGAACGAAAGTAATATTAGTTTACCATCATACAATCAATGATGTATCAAAAATAACTTCCGCGTATTTTTTGAAGCAAAAATCAGCCATTATGGGGGGCAAAAATAAATAGTAAATCACGGTTGTTTGGATCAAATAATATTTAATATTCAAAAATTAGAAATCATGGTTAATTCTTGTGCAGCAGCAGGTTGCACAAATAGAGCAATGAAAAACAACAACAGAGTATTTCATAAATTTCCAATTAGTAATAGCGAACACTGTAAAAAGTGGATTGTTGCTATAAAACGTAAAACATTCCTACTGAGCACAGCTGCATTTGTAGTGATCACTTTTTACCTTCAGATTACAATATACCTGATTTTAATAACAAACAGCAATTAAAACCTTTTTCTATGCCATCTATTACTATTAATTCAAAACCAAAAGTCAAAAGAAAGATTAGTTCTATATCGCCACAAACAAATAAAAAGAGACTCATTTGAAAAGTTTCAGAAACAGGCAGTCACCATTACATAGATTTCTATTTGGATATAAGTGATAACAGTAATGTTACTGCTAATATTAACACAATTTATATTTTCACAAAAAATATTGGTAATACTTTTTGTGAAAACTTAAGTGGATTGACTTTTGATATTATAAAAAATCAGTTTAAAAACAATACCTCACTTCCTAAAAAAGGCAGTTCGATTCATAGGCTTTACAGATTAGGGAAAAGATATTGTCGCAATTGAACCAGATACATCAGCTACAGAAGCATTGGTATTTATGCTGGTAGGATTACGAGGTCATTGGAAAACACCTATTGGCCTTATGCTGTGTAGTAAAATAACAACTGAAAACCTTTCATGTCTTATTAAAAAAGCATTAACAATTTCTTCTGATAAAAAAATTAATGTAGTAAAATTACATTTGATGGTGTAAGTGTTAACTTTAATTCTGTTGCATCACTAGGATGTACATTTGGGAAAAGACTAGAAAAAATTAATGGACAATTTACTTTTGAAGGCTATAATCACTACTTGTATGTAATCCCTGACCCAAGTCATTTGCTAAAATTAACTAGAAATGTGTTATGTGATTTAGACCGACTTAAGGATTGTAATTTTTAAATAGCTCTGGATTTATTGTAAGAAGATTATTATAAGATAACATGTTCTGTGTGTGCAAACTCACACAAAACAATTTTGTGGAATATTCTTATAGAGCATCAGTTCTTTCATTGATTAACACAAAAAATAGGAATGTGCTTATTGCTCCAAAAAATGGTGTTATACAAACTATAATAGTATACGAGAGCGTTTTCAAAATTTATGTCAGCAATGACAATTTCAAAAAACCAAAAATGAAAGTGGAGCGAAATCTTAAACTGAAAATGATTTATGCAGTTAATAAAATTTTTATTGAAAAACATTTTTATTAAAGACCTAAATGAACACGATGCTGACCATGAAGCTGTTACCGAAGACATGCATTGCACACAACTAATAAAAATGTTAGCAAATTACTTTTTTACAATCAGACTGCATATGGCCAATTATATACAGAAAAGTTGGTCTATATATATATAATGATTGGTCTACGTCAACAATCAAATAAATTAATTTTATTCAAAGGTTTATAGCACATATATATATATATATATATATATATATATATATATATATATATATATATATATATATATATATATATATATATATTTATATTTATATTTATATATATATATATATATATATATATATATATATATATATACATATATATATATATATAATATATATATATATATATATATATATATATATATATATATATATATATATATATATATATATATATATATATATATTTATATATATATATATATATAAATATATATATATATATATACATATATATATATGAAAATATTATAAATAAAAATACTAAATTAAGTTTTATTAACTGTTACTTTTCTTGATTTGTTGTTTATATTGAAAAACTTGCTTTTCAAAGGAAAGATATTCTTTATATACCTGAATACCTATGGAGCTTTTTTTGTGTTGGAAACCTTACTTGATTATAACATAACATTGAATTAAATTTATTTATTTGATGGTAAATCAATTATAGAAAAAAGTAATAATGATTTTTATGATAACAAGAAGTATTTAACCATAAAAAAATTCTAACATTTCTAGAAGGAACCTCTAAGTTTTGTCACACAGAACTTAGTTAATAGTCAAGACAGTTTTATAAAATGTTTCATTATAAGTTTTAACTCTGTTTACCTTGCAGTTATGTTATAAAACCTCCTAGCATTACTGCAGAGGGTAATTAATGACTAACAGGTGCATAAAATGTTAATAGATTAAAGATTAAAATCCATCTAAATCTAAGATTTTAGCTGAATGTTAAATTTTAAAATCATTCAAACTTAAATTTTAAAATAAAAAAAAATGAAATAAGTATGATTTTGAAATGTTTAAAAAAACAATGCATGTTTTACATAATTATTAAATTTTAAATCAAAATCAAAATAACCTCAAATTTTTCAGATATCTGTGTATCGATTTTTTTTTATTACATTTTTAAACAATTTTAAGCTTGATATTTGTTTTGTTTTGATTAATAGCGTAAAGATTTTGCCCCCCATAATGGCCGATTTTTGCTTCACTTTTTCTTATACCGATTTACGGCAGTTAGACATCTAGTTAATCTTAATATATCATTGCATACAATGGTTAATTGCTTTTTAGTTTAAAGTAAGTTCTACCCCTCAACAGATATTTTGAGACAAGTGAGGCAAAATGTACATTTCATATCAAATATATTATATAACATATTCCTACAAATTCTTAAAGTGCTGACACAATTTATTTTAGGATTCATTTTTTTGCGTAAATATCTACACTTTTTCGAATGATTGGTTAAGCTTGATTTATTTCCTAAAAAAACGTATATAGTGCAAGGTGATCTAATAACGATAACAACTTGACTTTCCCGCACATCGCAAAGACATGATTAGCTCTAAAATACTTTATACAAATGTTTAAAGCCCAATCAGGTCTTATGATATTTGATTATCACTAAGAATTCTAAAAGTTGTAAAAAATGCCATCTGTTAAGTGTAAAAATAATAATAATAATAAAAAAATCAGAAAAAATGCTTCAAAATAATTCATAATTACATCTTAAGTCTGCATACTTGTCAATAAAACGAAAAAAAATTTTAAATATTTTTTCCGCAGAAGTTGGTCTAAATTTTTGTCAGAAATTAAAAATCTATATCACCTAGTCGCCAAAAATTAAACTTCTAAAAGCTTTGAAAAAAAAATAAAAATAAAAACCTAATCCTCTGACAAGTAATTATTCTGAAACTGCTTTTAAACGTTCATACTGCAAACATAAACAAACAAATTATGCTTACATATTAAATACTGCTGCGCCAATTAAAGCAAACTTTAACATTATGCATTAGAAGTGCAACAGCAAATTTACAGTTGTGTCAGCAAATGCAAAATACAGACTACTGAAACTGCTAATTTTTTTTTAACTTATTCTTTTATCATTGATGGTGCATCCATCTTTTCAAAATTTATTACAAATTTTTAAATCATACTATTTTAATAAAAAGTTTTTGTTATGGTGTTGCACCTTTTTTCAAGTTATTGCAAATGTTTAAAAAAATTATGATGTTATTAAAAGGTTTCGGGCATGTTGTAGCACCTTTTTATAAGTTATTGTAAATGTTTAAAAGAATTATAATTTTATTTAAAGGTCTAAAAAATGGATCTAAATAATAAATAGTAACAAAATGTCTAAAAAAATAATAATAAAAAAAAAAAATAAAACCACACAGATAACGAATTAAAAACATTTAAAATGATTAAAAAACGAATAAAATCTTAAAGAAACTTTTGTTTAAATTTTAATTCGCTAAATTTTAACAAAAAAAAAAAAAAAAAAAAAAAGAACAAAAACGTAACTCTTAAGCAAATGTTTTAATTTTGATAAAGTATGATTACTGACAACATTCTAATTGCCGTAGGTTATGGAACATTACCAATTCAATTAGTAGGAATTTATTTTGTAATGAAAGTACGAAAAAAACTAAATGATATACAATTCTTAATTTTGATTGGTATTTGTTTGGTCGAGATACAACTTGCTGTTTTGATACCTTCAAGAATTTTATTTAAAATTTTGAATGTAAAAAAAGCAGACCATTTGACATCAATTTACATTGATATTGGTTTAGCATTAGAATACTATTGCAGTATCTTTATATTAACCGCTAATCGCTTTTCGGAACTTTACTTTAATCTTCGTTATTATCAAATTTGGAAATACAATCGAGTTAAATTATTTATGGTAACCGTTTTAGTAATCTCTGTGATTATTTCAGCGCTTTTAATGCTTTATGAAACATTTGAATCTTACAAAAGTTACGAAACATTTGATAAAATAAAAAGATTTAGTAGCCAATATTATTTTCCTATTTTTAACGGATTTTTAATGATATGTATTTTTTCGACCTATGGTTATATTTACTTTCGGTATCGAAAGTTAAACGTCATAAATATAACTAACTTCTATTTTGGTAAAAAAATATGTACGTCACTAACTCCAGCGAACCGAAAGCGTTCTTGTAGAGGGTTCTTAATGTTAAGTTTATTTGTGATAACTTTTACATTATTTATTACAACGCCAGACACAATTAATTGCTATTTTTACATAACAAAACAAAATAAGTATTTAAACTCAAATTACGTAATAATTTCATACTACCTAGGTTTTTTATCAGACGTTATAATATATACATTTCTTTCTCCACCTATAAGATACGAATTGAAAAGATTGTTGACGCGGCATAAAACAGTAAAATCACAAAAGTGTTTCTAAACTATGACTATATGAAATACATAACTATCTGTAATAATTTCATATAACTTTAATATGCATTATTAACAACTTTTACATAATAAAACTGGTATTCTTGTCTCATATACCAAATGAATATAAAAAAAAATATCTGGTGGTGTCAGCATTTTTAGAAATGAACTTGATATAAAGGAAATTATCATCAAAGTACGAGTTGAAATAAGACGTTAATGGAAAAGACCATTGGGCAAAAATTAAATTCAGTTCTTTCAATAATTGTTATAAAGAATAATTTAGTCGTTACAACTGCAGTAAATAATATAAAACAGAACTAAGTCCTTATATTTGCAATAACAAATAAATAAGCAACATAGTATTTATTTAATTTATTTGCTTATTTATTTTTAATGAGAAAAAAAATGTATTTATTTTTGTATTTAAGAATTGTAGAAAGAATATCAATATGTTGTAAATATTTAAAAGTTTAAACATATTTTATATCTGTTTTCTTTTTTCATGAAGATTAATAATGCAATATTTGTGCATATAAATTGAATGGTTTGAATCCAGATAGGGGAAAGACGCCTATGATGGCATAGTGCCTTTGATGGCATACCGGTCATATTTTCATAAATATTCAACATGTCTATATTGACTACATTAGTTTTAGCAAAAATACGTCCCTTATGCACAAACGTTGCTTTTATAATCAACAAAAATCGATTTTGGGATGAGCTGTTGTATTTTTAATCCCTTTAAATTTTTAAGATTGTGATTTTGTTATTAACTGTGCCGAAATGAAATTTTCATGCATTTTATTTCCAAGTTTTGTGCATTTAGTGGAATACTTATTTTAACTTTATCTTTTTAACAAGGCCGACAAAGCTTGTTTAAATGAAAATGATGACTTCTTTCTATGATGGCATACTGACAAGTTAGGTGTGTTGCAATATTGACGAGCTTAGAAAACCTTTATTTTTCATTAAAAAAAAAAATCTTTTAGTAGAGTAAAAAGGAAATTTTACTTCACTAAAAAGGGTTTTGGTTCAAAAAACACATAAAACGCAATATCTCTTACGCGCATGCGTGAAATTCTACAATGCTGCTGTGTAGCACGAAAAGGTTAATTAGGATGATTACACATAATTTCTGGCATTTATGAGGGTAGACCCTAAGGTTTAACAAAATTGTCAAGTTACCCTTGATGCTAACCAGCCCCATCCTCACCTATGCCATTATAGGAGCAGTAGTTGCCTAAAATGGCATACCTGTGCTTTTTTTTTTAAATAAAAATAACTACTATAAAAATAAAATTGATGAAAACTCCTAGAGTTATTGTTGTTCTATATGTAACAAAAAATGTATCCATATCAAAACTTTTGTTATTGGTCTTCAGGATACTGAATAATGAAGCTTCAAAGTTAAGTATGCCATCATAGGCGCCTTTCCCCTATAGCATAATTTAGATTTCTTTAATACAAACTTGTTGTACAAAAAGGTTCCAAAACCAATTTTGTAAAAAATTGCCTTTCTTGATTTCATTGTGAGTTTAAATATTTAAAAAAACAATAGCATACTACTTTTACATCCTACAATTAAGCTAATATTGTTTTACATAAGTTGACAACAAATATTGCTAACGAAAAAGTGCTAATAATAGAAATAAAGCTCTATAGAATATCTATAAACTTTTGAAATATAAGGCCTAAAGAAATTTTGTAGAAATCTATAAAAAGAAATTCTAAAGAATTTTAAAATTTTCTAAAGAATATACACGATTTGTTAAATTTCTCAAGAAGCAGTACGAGCACAGACGTCCACGGGACGTCTGTGCTCGTACTGCTGGGAGGTCGCATAAATAATTACTTTTTACTTTAAGAAGAAAAGAACACTCTTTTGTTTGTTTCTTTAGAGAACACTCATTTGTAATTTGCAGGGATAAGTCTTACTATGTTTTTTTTCAAGTTGAGGAAAAATCATTGTTAAGCTCAAATAATAGGATGTATGAACCTATCAACTCTTAAGCATAGAAAAGTTTTAAAATTTAATTTTGACTCTATGAAATTGTGACAATTCCCATTTTGTTAAATCTATAAACTGTGGTACCCGTACCAACTTTTTTTCAGTACTAATTGCTTGAATTTAATTTTCGTCGCATTCCAGATAATAATGTATAAAATAAACGGTGCTAATTTTTGAGCTTTTACAATTTAATTGGATAAAAAAATTTCTTTGTACTTAATGTTTATTAAGTACAACTGTGTTTGATTTATATTTAACATAACCATACATAACTGTGCTATAATCTGCTTTTGCATCGATATAGATTTTAACAGATTTGATGTGGTATTACATGCTTCTCATTTTCCTGAAAGCCATACTGGAATAAACATATCCAAAAAGTTAGAAAGTATGTGGGATAGCTGGAAAATTCAAGCTGAAAGACGACATATTCTTGTAAGAGATGGTGCAAGCAACATGATAAGTGGGAGTAATCTAGCTGAAATTCCCGCAATCCATTGTACTATTCATTTACTTCAATTAGTTGTTTCAGATTCTATAAGTGAAAATATTGTAATTGATGTTCTTTCAAAATGTCGTCGACTTGTATTTTATTTTAACCATTCATCTCTAGCATGTACCAACTTTAAACAAATTCAGCTGCAACAAAATCTCGACCCTCTTTGTCTTGTTCAAGATGTCCCAACAAGATGGAACAGCACTTATCTTATACTTGATAGATTAAACAAGTTAAAAATTCCAGTTCAACTATACTTAGCAGAACGTTCTGATTTAATGCCCTTTTCTACATTAGAATGGACATTAATATTAAACATTATTAAACTGTTAAAGCCTTTTTTCCAATTAACTCAGGAAATAAGTTCAGAAATAACACCTTTGTCTTCTGTAATTCCAAATTTGTGCTCATTGAAGAAATTTATGTCAAAATGTCAAGTTGATTTAAGTATTCAAGAAACAAAGAATCGGCTTACAACTTCTTTAAAAAATCGATTTTTTTCTGAAATAAATGATGCGAAGTCTTTAAACATTTTGAAAAACAGGTACTATGTCATAGCTACTTCAATTAATCCAAGATATAAGTTTTCTTTCTTTGAGGAGGATATCAAAAAACAGGCTAAGTACTGGTTAATAAATGAAATTTTATCCTTTGAAAAAACTCTTGTTTGTTCTGAAAAAGTAGATTTTAGTGTAAATGAAGAACCATCACAATTAAATTTTTCAATTAATACTGAAAAAGAAGACACTCTTGAAGCATGTTTCAAAGAAATTATAAATACAACATCTGAAAAAACATTACCTTTTAAAAAATTAAAGTTAGAGAAAAAATCAAATGAGATTTTGATTAGAAAAGAAATAAAAAAGTTTTATTCTGAACCACTTGTAGACAGAAAACTCTGTCCAATAAAGACCTGGATGCAAGAAGAACGATTCCCTCGTTTAAAAACAATTGCTTCAAAACATCTATGCACTCCTGCATCATTCATATTTTCTGAAAGATTGTTCTCAGAATATGGTAATATCTATGAGAAAAAGAGATCTAGGTTATTGCCTAAAACAGGAGAAATGCTTTTGTTTATTCACCATAATGGGAGGAAAATAGAATGACTCTTTGCATTTACTCATTTTTTGAAATTTTATTTGTTATGTTCTTTGATAGTATTATTAACTTTCTAAAACATTTTGTTTCATTGAATTTAATAATTTGACTTAAGAGGCATTCATAAAGTATGTATGCAGGTATGGGAGGCGACATTATCTAAAAATGTTTAAATATTATCTAAAAGTGTACAAGAGTGTATAAGGGGTAGGGACAAGAGGGCAAATATGCAAAGTAAGGGCAAGGTCCAGGCAGCAAATATGTACATGGTTGGGCCATCTTTTTCATGAATTTTACTCCAAAATTTTTTTCAAAATTTTTATTTTAAACAAAGACAATTTATTGAGTGAAAAAATCTATAACAAAATATCAAAAAAGAAAAAAAAAAAAAAGTTTATGATGAAATTTCAAAAAAATATAAAAAAAACAAAAAAAAAATTTAAACATTAAAAAAAAATTTTTTTTTGATTATTTTGATAGAAAATTTTTTTGCAAAACAAATTCTTTAAATTCTCAACTTCGATCATTTTAAATCTTAAAAAAATTGTTGGAAAGTTATGAATGTGTTTTTACCCCTCTCCAAATTGAAGGGGTAATAAATTAAACATGGTCATAACTTTGGAACATGAATTAATTGATGAAATTTAAAACCTATTGATGAATTTAGCTAGAGTATTAGATAGTGTAATGAAATAACTAAATGATTTTCCTTGCATTTGGGATAGGTGGTTTAGAAAATAACCTCTAAGGTTATTTTTGTTCCCAAGCTCTAATTACCATGATTTTTTGATGCAAAACACTTTCATTCTATGGAAGCATAAAAAACTTAAGTTTAAAGTTTGCACAAAGCTTGATAATGTCATATCTGAGACTTTTAAAAACATCATGTTAGAGTCCATTTAGCAGCGTGTCGGTAAACCATTTTGATTTAGAGTTCTCAAAATTAAATTTCTACTTAAAAGATAAACTACCCTCCCCTAAAAAAATGTATTTATTAAATAATTCTTAATAGTTTTTCAAACCTCTTTGTGCTCTGGGAAGTTTAAATTGAAGATAGGCTTGTGACCATTAATTGATCATAAGTGATCGTAAGATTGTGATCATTAAGTGATACGTAATTACAATAGCGATCATTAAAACATTTAACGTTCGCTGTTGGGAATCAAATTTTTAGTTGAAGACTTGTTCAAACACCCTTCATAATAACACCAGAACTTAACAGCATAAAGTATTATCCAGTATGTCCGGCCGGATATAGTATATATCCGGCCGGATACCGAATAGTAAATTATCCAGTATTTTTAACCGGATATCCGGCCGTATATCGTATCCGGTACACCTCTACTCAGAACTACACCCCTTTAATAACTGTTGTAATAAAAAAATTAAAAACAATTTGTTGTTTTATTGCAAATAAAACATTATATCCAATTGTGTACCTATTGCGCATGTTAATTACCCAGTGGGAAAAAAGACATCTTTAGACGAATAAAAGGCGTCTTTTTTATGTCTTTTTATAATCAGCCAAAATAAAGACGTGGAAAATGTCTTTTAAAAAGACGTATTCAAAGAAGAGTTCGAAAAGACATCAATCGATTGTTAATAAGGAATCATTATTTACTTAAGAAAATTAAAAATAATTATTGCCAATAGAACCTAACAAAAATGAGTTTTAACCCACAGTATCGTAATTACGATATCTTTGTTACGTTCTGATTGGCCCGTTTTTTGTTTACAAAATACTTTTATATATACTGAATTAAATATACAATTGCAGCTGCTTAGCTAAAAAATTTTATTTGGAAGAAGCAAAAGTTGATGGCGTGGTGCCAGTAAGATGGTTTTGATATGATCTAGTCTCAATTAAGTTAGTCGCAGGTAAGTGTTTTAAAAAAGTTTGACCATTTATTTTTAGACTGATTTTTTAATGTATTGTGCTTGAAGAACATTGTTTATTACATATTAAATTAAAATATTTATTTTCAGACAAAAAATAAAACCTATAAACAATTTCTCTTTATATTTACTTGTTCAAGTGCCAGTGAAACGAACGATAGAAAAAAAGAAGCATTCAGTAGGCTTGCAATTTTTTTTTTATATATTTTTAAATGATCTAAATAATTTTGTTGTTTTTATTTAGTTGAATGATGAAAATGTTTATGCAAAAGATTGGCTCTTCAACTTTTATATTAAATATGTTATTTCCTTGTTAACTGTTGTTTGTCATTAATAAAGCAATTATAAAAATACACATAATGACAACAGATTTATCTTTACAAATGTTCGCAAAATTTTTGGTTTGGATACAAAATACCAAGTGAAAATGGTACTGGAAAGGTACACTTTCTTATATCTAAACATCATTGCAGCTTTCTAGTCTTCATTTTTATTTATGTGTATTTCATCAGTGTTGCTAATGATATTGCCAGTTTTTATGATTTTATGTTGTTAAGTAAAGCATCCTTTTGTTTCAAGCTAAAATAGAGCTTTGACTAATAATTTTTTCTAGATTAAATGAATAACAACTTTCAAGGTGTATTAGCTGAATTATCTTTTTTTTTTTGATAGTCTTTAATCAATAACGGATTTTTAAATTGTTTTGAGTTTACAACCCTTAATTTCAGCGAAATTCAATTAAAAAATCATGTTATAGAAGACAAAAAAATATCAATATCTGTTTTCAATAGCTTGGTTTTCATAGCAAATCTGAGAGGTGCAAGTGTTTAGCTTGATTTAAATACTACATAATAAAATACATCGTTGTACAGTCATTTTGATGGTTGTAAATTTATTTAGCACACTCATTTTTATATATTTTCAGAATGTTTACCGTTTAACTCCTGTCCCAATCTAACCTAATGGGTTCAAAAAGAAGGGACGGCGCTGGAAACAGGAGTGAATTAAAAGGATCAGCCCTTTTTGAATTGATAGTCAGTAAGTAAAATGTGCTCCACTCAGCTAATCAAGTTTCGTTTTTTTTTTTTTTTGTATTACATTTAAGCAATAGACTATTTTATATGTTCACTCGTTTTTTAGAAGTGGTAACCAGCTAGATGTCCTAACCGGCTCGTATGAAAAGATTTCTCGACGTGAAATTGTTAATTTTATTCAACAACGCCAAGAAACAGCGCTCGCTCAAGAAACAGAAAAGAAAGAGAAAGATGAAAAAATATTCTGTTGAACAATACTATTGTTTTATTTATAAATTATTCTCCTATATTTAAATATATAAAAGATGTAGAAAATGCTTCCTCTTTTATATTGACATCTAAAAGAGGTTTTTTTCTCGGCATCAGAAAAAGCTTTTTGTCATACTTTGTATGAAGAGCTATTATCATTTTCATTTGATAAAAATAGCTTTTTATATAAGAAAAGTAGGAATACTATAGTGTATAGGATACTATAGTATACTAATAAGTATGGCAAAAAAAATTGTTCCGATCCCGAGAAAAAACACTTTTTTAGATTTGCATATTCGACTAAAAAAAGGCATCTTAAAGGCACATTTTTTGTCTTTTCATGACAAGATTAAGATAAAAAAAGACGTTTTTTCGATGTCAAAAAAAGATATCTTTTAGATTTGCATATTAAACTAAAAAAAGGCGTCTTAAAGACGCATTTTTTATGTCTTTTTATGACAAGACTAAGATAAAATAGACGTCTTTTCGTTTTCGAAAAAAGATGTCCTTTAGATTTGCATAATCGATTAAAAAAAGGCGTCTTAAAGACATCGTAAATAAAACTTTTAAAGACTTTTTTTCGACGTCTTTTTTCCCACTGGGTAGTATTGAGTAAGAACTTTTTAAAAAAATTGAATAAAAACCAGCAATTATCTTAGCGATTATCAAACTACCAATTAAAATTGTTGATAGTTATTTGAACTCATTTATGGAATCAATCTAGGATTCACAATTTATTCAATTACATTGTTAAACTTTATTATAAATATAATATGACATATTATAACTGCATCTTTCAAAAACAATCCAAACAGAAACTATTTTAACAATTGAAAGATAAGAAATAGCACACCTGACCATCATTACGCTCAAAAGGATGAGATTTGAAAATCAAGCTAATATTTTTTATAAAGCAAAGAAACTTTGACCTGAAGTACCACTACGGTAAATTACCTTTCCTTCAATTTTTTTATTAAATCGAAAGCAGCTTGTTTGCAAAACATACTTAAATTTATCCGGTCACTTTTGAAAAGAAAATAAAAAGTTTCATTGTTATTGGTTTTCATTATCAAACCCTGCAACATCCTGTACAACTTAACTTTTCATGAAAGGATAAAAGCCTTGTCAGATAAAAACTCGTAAAATATTTAAAAAATTAAATTTACATAAATTTAGAAGCAAATTTGTGTTTAAAAACGAAAAATGCTTCACTAATTTGGACGGTGGATGAGAGAATACAGTTTTATATTTTTTTCGTTTCAGGTGTTCCAGGAAGACCTTAGGTCTTAGCACAGAGCACCGTGAAAGAACATTTTAGAAAATTCACATTTACTTTCTTAAAGAACGCGCTAAAATGTGTCAAGAGGTTGTTTCGAAACCTGGATTTCTTCCTTCATAAATTTGCATTCTTACCACAGCGCCACGGCTGCTCGGTATTACTTATAGTTAGTAATTTAATAATTTTTTAAGGTTTTAAGTACATGCATATTTTACGTTATAATAAAACATTACGTTATAATAAAACAAGGTGGACATCTGGCTTTTTGTGGTTTTTTAAATTAATTAATTAATGGGTGTTTCTAAAACCTTTATGACTTTTGAAATTTTACAGATAATTTTGTTCTTTAAAAAGAATATAAACACTAATAAAATATTTTATCTTGTGAATAAAATATCATAACTTTTTTTGATTTTTCATTTAACAAAAACTGGTCCTTTTTCTTTTTTTTTTTGATAACGTGTCGATGGCCATGCACGAGGAATACGTAAATTGTTTGTATATAAAATAGATTAATTTATTTTAGATATATACAGCAAAATTAAGTAATAGATAATATTTAAAAAATTTTGATTTAAATTTTTTAGATGGATTTGTTGGGTGCTGGTCAAACTGTTGGGTGCAACAATAAATGGACAGCTTTGAGTCAAATAAAAATTCGATTTTTCGGAGCCTATTTTTGAAATCTAATAAATTCGATGTGTGAAATTATACATCTCAGCCGAATTTTAATAATATTTGTCTAGTCAATTTTGTGAACTCCTGAGGGTTGTCATGGAGAAAACAAATTACATGTTGCTTTTAACAACCAATCGACTGGCTGGATAGCTCAGTTGCTTAGAGCGTCGAACAAAAAGTTTAAACCCGGACAGTTGTAAGATACGAGTTCAAATCCTGCCACCGCCCACTCAGCGCTTGAGTAGTATACTTTGGTACGCAAAAATGTTGCTCAATAATGGACGCTTCTTTGGATTAGTCTTAATGACTATTTGTGGCTGCTCCTTTGCTAAGCCTACAATATCTTCGGATATAAGAACATTGTATAGAAAAATATAGCATGATAATTCAAACTAAAAAAAAAATATCAGCTGAGAGTTTTTGCTAAAGCTTTTTAAATTGAACTCAGTATGTTTTTGTGCTGACAGTAAATTTCTGTGCTGACTTATTGGCAGAGAGTGGTCACAACACTTATTATTACTACATTATTATTAGCAAGTACTATATGACTTATTGGCAGAGAGTGATTTCTTATATAGAACCACGTACACTTTATTACACTAAAAACATTTTCTATTTTAAACGAATTTCAGATTTTTAAGTTAGTATTGGCTTTTGAATTAGTCTATGCAATTTGAACGGATATTGGGAAAAAATGGGTTGTAATTAACATTGAATACCTACCGTTGTATTACTTGAAAAAATAGTTCTGTAAAACAATTTCAATAATTTATTTATAAGTATTAGGGTTCAAGTATTATTAAACACATGTAAGGAACTGTTGTGAACAGCTGTTTCCAAATTTAAAGTAGAGTGCTTGAGTCCGTTGTTTTTTGAGAGTTGACTGCAAAAGATAAGACATCCATAATAACTGATTTAGTGTAAAATCATAAGGAACATTAGCACCTAGTGTTGAGCAACAACCAAGTTTACTAATGTGACGTAAAATAGCTGTATGAGAACATCCAAGAATGGTTGCTAAGTTGAGGCGGAAGAAGAATTTTGTAGTTTGCCTGTCATTAATAAGTGATATACCATGTTTTCATGCAAAACAAATAAAATCCGCGGGGAAAAGAGGGGTGAGTGAATTTTTTTTTGCAAGTCTGGAATATCATACAAAAAAGGTAATAAATAAGAAACATAGCCAGGCTTAACTACTTAAATGAACTTTTTTTCGCTCACTTTATTGATGCTCTTTGAGTATGTTCTATTAAAATGATTTTTTTAATATAAGATAAACAGTATTTATCTTTTATTATTTTAATATTATATTCATTATTTTAACAAAATTAAATGTGTTTATTAAACACATTTCATTTTGTCAAAAAAAACTTTTATTACTTCTTGATCCTGCAAAAAGTAAAGCTTCAACAAATTGAATAAGTAAAATCTAGAGCCCCATAATTCATTAGTTTAAAGAGTTTGTTTTTTTAACAAATCAGATATTTGTATTTATTAGTGAAAGACTTATCAGTTAGTTATATTTTATATGTGCTGCGAACCCTGTAAATGAATCAGATAGCACTTTTACTTTGTCAAGAGTCATTTTAACTGTATGGTTTCTTAAAAGTTTGCAGCTCCTGCAAAGCATAGTTTTCATCATAGAATTTGTATTTTATTTTACATTTTTTAAAGGAACTTTAATATAAAGTTTGGACAGCTTTTACTAAAGCTTTGTAAGTATCACTCTTATTTAATCTTTTTACCTCGTCAATTGCAGAACTTGATGGGATTTAAATCTGCCACTACTAAACATAGTAGGGTTCGCGTGGTTTACTTTCAATTAGCTTTTTTAATTAGTCAAATCTATCTTTAGACTTAAGTTCAGCTTCATAATAATATTTTGGTAAAAGCGTTTGATAAGTGTAAAAACCTGTGACGCAGAGGCCTAAGTTATTTTACCTAAACGACTTCTCTAGCCAAATTGTCTTTACGATTGAAATATTTTTCAAAAAGTTTAAAAAATCCAAAGAGTAAATTATTTACTCATTAGATTTTTTACATTTTTTAAAATATTTAAATCATTTGATAAAAACTTGAAATATATTGTATACTACATATGCGAGCGTATTGTTCAAATATAGATGCAATATATTTGAGCACCCGTGGCGCTGTGGTAACGCACTTGCTTCATAAATAACGTGGATCCGTGGTTCAAACCTCACCTCTGGGGGTAATTACATGTCAAAACAACAAGTCGAAATAACCCACCATCTCAGAAATACTTGGTTTTTGGCGCAAATGCAGTTAATAATGTCGTTAGTAATAATCATAAATAATTTGGAGTCAATTTCATTATTTTAAGGGTTATGGGTCTTTGAAGTTCAAAAACTTAAAATTTTTTTTATTCTCCGCTCTCTTAGCAACGTCTATAGCAACACTAAAATGTTAAAGTATACACAGTTACATTAACCATTCGTTTACAAAATTTAATAGGTATAGAAACTTTTGAATAAAGAAATCAAAAATCATTACTTAAAGTTATTAGATCTTATATTTGATTAAAAACTTTGCAATGCAAACCGGGTTTTTAACAATAATTTTTTAGTAAAGATGTCTAGTTTAAGATTAATTGCAGAAAATTGATCTATTCACTTTAAATCTTTACAAAAATAGTTTATATATAAATGACTGTAAGATGCAAAAATTATTTCATTGTTTTTTGATGCACATATCTATTTTATTATTGATTTATTCTTGCAATTTTTTTTTTGCATTTTTATTTACCGTTTTGGTTATAATCTCCATTTAAAGATTATAACTAAAACAATTTCTCACAAAAAAATAATGATTTCTCACATAAGTGTTATACTTAAATGTTAGAACCAGTTGCTCCGTTTAATTAATTAAACAAGAAACCCAGAAATTCATTTTTATTTTAAACTAAATAAGTCTAATCATATGATTACACTTATTTAGTTTAAAATAAAAATGAATTTCTGGTTTTTTCTTGTATTAATTAAATGGAGCAATTGATTTTAACATTTGAATTTTGATTATAATACTCATGCGAAAATTTATTATTTATTTAATAATAGTTTTAGAAAGATAAAATATTAAAATTAAATATTTTTATAATGGCTAGAACATCACAATGCTTAGTTGGATTGATTTTAAAATCAAATTGTCACAAGTTAACATTTACAAACCACATTGGAATAAACTTTTTTCAAAATTTAGCTCCAGACGAGCAAAATTTAGTTGCGTTAAGGTCTGGTGTTTCTTTTGTTTTGATTATTGACTTATGTTTTCATCACCAAAAGTTCTATCTTGAGAAGTTCCCTGTGTTTCAGAATAAATGCTATGATCCACTGTTAGTTCACAAAAGATCGTGCAAAGGTTACTAAAGCTTGTCACAAATTTTATAATAGTAAATTTGTCATAATTTTAAGTTCTTTATTTTTGTTAATAGTAGGCACATTTTATTAAGTTATATTTTTTAATTTAGCGTCTCTCAGAGAAGTCACGTTAAGAACCATAGCTTTAAACAACAGGATCAATATTGTACCTGGTCAAAAAATTTGTACAAATTGCTTAGTCAAATTAAAAGCTTCCACTGAAATTAATACTGATAATATTAATATTGCTGATCATTACACAAATGAAAGTATAAATAAAGAAAACATATTTAGTGTTCAACAAGAAGCTGATATAAATAAAAACAGACAAGAACTTTCTGATTGTCTCAGTATAATTGGTGTGTCACCAGTCAAACTTCACGGAAAGCCATTTGCAAATCGTATGAGTATTGGGAAAAAAAATTAAAACTATTGCAAAAGTTTTCAAAGAAAAGTTATCAAGTTCTTTAAAAATTCCATTGACAGAAGTTGAAGTTTTTGATAATAAATATGTTCTTGATTTAAAAAAAAAAGTTGTTCAGTTCGAAAAAATGTTAGTTTTGATTAAAGATGAACTTGAAAAATGCATTTCATTTAGGGACAAAATTGAAATATTGACTTTGTGCCCACAAGAATGGTCAATTGAAGCAGCTAGTGAGTATTTTAGTGTTTCAAGTTATCTAATAATAAAATCTAGATCTTTAGCAAAAAAGGAAGGAGTTCTTGCAGTTCCACAAACTAAGCGAGGTAAAATGCTCCCTGATCAAATAAATACTTTAGTGAAAAATTTTTATGAAATTTAAAATTCTATATTCACATGTAAAGTTAGGTTTTTCCAAGTTTTGTGTTTTAAGACCTAAATGGTGTGTTTTGCCAAACTCATCAGGAACCCATTCTGTGTGCGTTTGTATCTACCATCAAAACATGAAGTTAATTCTACTACCCATTAAAATTGATTACCACGAACTATATAAATTTATTGTTTGTGATATGTGATATATATACAACAAAAAAAAGGGGGGACCACACTAAACCTTTAATGATGGATATGAAAATGATGAACATATATCAGATAAATATTTTCCAACACATAAACTTTATGTATAAATATACCAATAATATAACTCCTGAAATCTTCATAAGTAAATTTAATAAAATTTAAATGAGAAGTATTTCTTAACAATAAATCAAAGTAACACATATAAACTACCTAAAAAAGTAAACAAATACACAGAATATAGTATAACTTATAGAGGTCCCAAGCTATGGAACTCTTTTCTGAAAGACAATTTAAATATGGCAAAATCTTTAACTTCATTTTAGTTTCAAACAAAAGCTTACGTTCTAAATCTTACGAATTAATTTTTATTTTTGTTTACAAAAAATTTTTTTTTAGCATTATATCTGATTATTTAACAGTTTGTGTTTTTAAATATTATATGTAATCTTTATATATTATATGTTGAATATAACATCATATATTTAATTGGAAATTTTTATTTAAATATATTCTTTTATAACTTTTTGTGACTATTAGTATTTATTAATATTATATCATAATATTATATATATATATGTATATATATATATATATATATATATATATATATATATATATATATATATATATATATATATATATATATATATATATATATATATATATATATATATATATATATATATATATATATATATATATATATTTTACTATATGTTCTTTATTCCCTATATGTATTCTTGAATATTATATCTTCTTTTTTACTTTTTTTTTTTTCCTAAATTTTCTACTTGATTTATTAACCATATATTACTATATATTATTGTTATGATCTGTAGGGGCTCTATGAAAAGATTAGGTTGGTATTTTGCCATCCATATCTTCTTTGAGCCCCTGACTGTTTATTACTTGTACATTTGTAATTATATTTTATTTTTGGTGAAAGGAAATTGTAATTTATATAAACAGTAAAATAAAATAAAAATTAAAAAAAAAAAAAAAAAAAAATTATGCAAAACAAAGAATGCATGTTACATCGATGTACACAATGTCCAAAAAATACATCTAAATTAGAAGAAAAGCTATTCAAACTAATAGGGCAGTTTGAGGAAGAAGGTACTATTGAATTTAACCAATGGATTACTACTGATAGATCAGATTTAGTTATACAGCTTGTAACCATACCAGATTATGTAAATATGGTGATGGAAAAACTAGTCAAGCTAATAACGCATTCATATATTTCTAAATGCGAATCTAAATATTTAAAAAATCTTAAAGAAGAACTGCCATCAGGTAGCGCAATAATTCTAGGAGATTTTGCAGAAAACTATAGTTTTGTTGTGCAGGATGAAGTACAAGGTTTCCATTGGAATAATCTTCAACGCACACTTCATCCAGTTGTTGTGTACTATAAAGAAAATCAAGTGTTGCATTCCACTTCATATTGCATTACATCAGATGATAACACTCATGATGTACCAATGGTTTACGAGGTACAAAAATCATTTATTAATAATCTGAAGCAAAAATACACAGCATTGGAAACGTGGTTTATTTTTCTGATGGCTGTTCATCTCAATATAAAAACTGCAAAAATATATTTAACCAATGTCAGCATAAATCAGACTTTGGAATAGATGCAAAATGGGTTTTCTTTGCAACCAGCCATGGAAAGCAATCTTGTGATGGTATAGGAGGAACAGTTAAACGGCTTGTAGCTAATGCTAGTTTGCAGAGAATTTCTACAAATCAAATATTAAACTTACGTGATATGTTTACATATTGCACTAACAATATCAAAGGTATAAACTTTATTTTTATTTCAAGTGAAAGTTTGATAGAAACTAGGTTATTACAATCTTAACGATTTAAAAATGTAAAAACAATACCAGGAACAAGAGACTTTTATGAATTTATTCCTGTATGTCATAATGAAGTTAAGTTGAAATACTGCAGTGATGACACTATCCCTATCTTGACCTACAAGTTTAAAAATTGCGAAATTACAAAGTGATGTGCAAAGTTGACATGGAATTTTAATTTATGCACTAACATGGTCTTGAATCTTAAAGACATTTTCTTGCTTCCTTTTATCAATTATTACTTCGAATCGACAGTTTGCTTATGTCTATGATATGTATATGACAATATTTTGCATTTATTAAAAAATATTACCTAATTTTGTTTTGTTTTACAGTGCAAAGAAAAACAAAGGAATATTTGAAGTTCAATAATTTGTATAAATATTTATCAATTCATAAAAGCACAAACAATTCAAAGAGTTAATGTGTTTTGATATTGAGTTTATTTAAGGACATGTCATGGATATTGCAATTTTATACCTAAGTGAAAATACCTCTTATTTTTTGAGTAGCTTTGAGTAAAAACACCTGTTTTTAGTATTTAAATATTTTTAATTGAGTTTATTAAATATGCATATTGTAGCTTTACACATAAGTAAGAGTTCTGACTTTCTGGCTGTGCCTAAACTTAAGTACCAATCAATCTTCTGTCTCAATCTCATTATACTTTCAATCAAAAATAAAAATTAAATTGCTTAGATTAGTAAGTCAAAAAACAGCTCAGTTTTTTTTTTTTTTTTTTTAGATGCTTATATATACTTTAAGATTATGAAGTTTGGAAATATATAGATCATAACCTTTTCTGTAATACTTTTTAAAGTAAGCATGTTCACTTTTCAATTTTATTAAAAATGCCGATTTACTCTTATTGACTTATTAATAAATAAATAAAAATATTATTTCTTGGTATAATTTTAAAGTTTAGCATCTAATAACATGTGGAAAATTTCAAATTATGAAACAATATAGTTAAGGTAACAACGTATGTATTAGCATTTACTTGTTACTAAGGACGTTGCTAGGGGAGCATCATGAGTAAAAATGTTACTAAGTTTTAAATTTTAAACGAGTATAACTTCTAAAATATTCCGATTTGTTTAAAACAACTTTGTGGAATTCTTTTTAGCCTAGTTAAGTATCTTTGTTGCAAAAATCAAGTCATTTAAAGATAGTGGGTTATTTTTTTGAATTTTTGTTGTTGTTTTGACACGGAATTACACCTGGGCAAGTTTTGCGACATCGGTTAGGAAGGAGGCGTGAACATCCGATTAAATGATCATTTGCGGTGCTCTGTGATAAGACCGTAAGGACTTCTTTGGTCACCTAAAAAAAATAAAAAAAGTAAACAAAAAATATTAATTAGGAACCAACACATTTTAATTAAAAATATAATTATTAAATCTATTCTTTGTAAAAAAAATGTTTCGATATCTGTAAAGGTTAATTATTAAGATGCAAAAACATAATAATAATAGCAACATTAAAAAAAATTCGTTTGTAATAAGATGTAAAAAGATTTTGGCAGAATATTGTTATATATATATTACAAAAATATATATTACAAAAATATACAACTAATATATATAAACCCTTTTACTTATTGAATTTTATTGTTTCCTTACTTATATTACTAAATATAGAGGTGTCTTATTATCTTTATAGTGCTGTATAGTTTCACTCAATAGAACCTCTGCGTGGAGAGTAAAGCTGTTTTGTTTTTTTAAAATGCAAACTCGTTGGAAAGGCTATATAATATCTGTTATAATATTACATATAAGCAAGATTAGATATTCTAGAAGTTTAGTAAAGGTAGGTTAAATACTAATTCCACGGTAATTATTTGAATTATTAAGAGATTTTTTATATGACTTAACAAGATTTTATGTTTGCACACAGAATATTATACGCAAGCACAGAATATTTAATGCAAGCACAGAATATTATACGCAAGCACAGAATAGATCCCACATTCCTATGACGTCATAAAAATTAGCTTAAAATATAAATTCTCAAGTATATAAAGATATGGAAGGTTCACAAAATTATGAAATACCTTTTCAAATTTTTTCTACAGATAAAAATATGATATGGAGTAAAAGTTTAAAATACTTGCTACAGTTCACTATTAAAGATATATAAAGTAACAGAAAAAGAGTGCTAAAATCAAAAACATGGCAATAAAAAACTTTTGAGAGAGGAAAAAAATATAAACCTAAAAAATTTATATATATCAGATGATAGTTTTTATACCTCGTATACCTTTACTTATATAATTTTAAAAACAAAATGCAAAGTAATTATGAAAAATGAAGAACGTGATTTAAATATTTTTTATTAGCAGACTGTTTAGCTCTGTTAGAAAAGCATGTGGCTTATACTCTGCAGGAAATAGTGGATAATTGTGTAATATCATTATTATTTGAACTTGAAAGTTATTCATTAAATTTACTTGAGAATGCACCTAAAGAGATTTCATGCACAATCAGATCAAAACTTTGAAGTTATTACCAATATTAAAAAACTTCCTGCAATTTTATTTGGTGTGTCCAATATTCTTTCTCTTTTACCTCTTAAATTTTATAATAAAAATCTTTGCTACATGTATGAAACTTGCAATGTATGTAACTGTGTATGTAACTCGTAACTTGGAACTTACTAAAAAATCAAAAAATAAATTTTATTGTCAATAAAACTATCTTCTGAATAAAGAAGATAGTATAAAGCTGACAATAACAATAACACAAAATGAATATCCACTTTGGTTTAGTCTAAGAAAACAACGTTTAAGAGTCATTTTTTGAAAGAATCAGGCAGTCAATGGAAGTGACCTCGTCCAAATTGCTTGAATTTTTTATATATTGATCAGAATATAGAGAAAACCTGTTGGGGAAAAAAAAATTTTTAAAAATGTTTCGTTCAGTCGGAATCTGGGCTTAAATTTTTGAGATTTTTTTAAAAATTTTTAGAAATTTAGTTTTTGCCACCTTTGAACCCATTTTTTTGGCAAGGCAAAAAGTTGAACATAGCTTTTGTAGTTAATATCAGACGTAACCCAAAAGCTCTCTCCAAAAAATATAAAAAAGTTGCGTGACACTGTGCGGTTGGCTAATTATCATAGTTCAAAAGTACAAAATCAATCAGTTTTGTCAATTTTTAATCGGAGTTAATTCTAGCGGCGAAGTGTTGCACACAATTTTTCTTTTAGGATTTGAAAATATCAAAGGTATTGAGTCTAAAAATGCAAAGAAATTTATGTGATACCTAAGGCCTATTAATATATTAAGGCTTAAAATTGGAAAAAAATGTTATAGTATACTTACAAAATGAGCTATTACGGCAGAGGCGCTAAGTTTTGTAAAAATATAATCATGTTAAATGGTCAATATAAGATGACCCTAACATAGTTTAAAAAAAAACTCATGTGATCTTTAGATATTAAGTTAAAAATAAAGGTACAAATTGTTAAAAATGATTAAGTACGAAGAGATATTTTTTTGGACACACAGATGAGGTTTTCGCTCACAATAAAATTTCTATCATCCAAAATTAGCAATTAGCATTACAAAAAACATTGCACGTAATGTTAAGAAAAAATTTAAGCGTTTCTGACTATGATATAGAAATCATAACAATTGAAATAAATAATAATAAAAAACAATACATGATCAGAAGTGATTTATTTAAATTTACGTCATAACCAAATAACTTTTGGTGATCGAATGGAAGAAGAATCGCTGATATCACGATTGTGGAGAAACAAGTTAGTGGGCGGTTGTTTGCTTTACCATGAAAATGTCTTAACTTTATTTTAACGATCTTAAAAATTTGCATAAATAGAGTAGATATTTTATCATTGCTATTGAGAAATAGGTACTGCATAAATAGAACTTGTTTTTAGTTGAGTATAGAACAAAACAAACATTTTTATGAAAACTGTTGTTGCTTTTCAAAAGGAAATTGTGGATCATTCAAAAAACATAAAATTATAAACAAAATGTTCTACATTCATCAGCTGGGAGATGTTGATGTTAAGAAACATCTCATCAACTTAAAGGTAATTATGTATTTTAAATTTACGCAGACTGTAATATAATTTTTATAATTACATACTTTATAACTTCTCTGCAATAAGATTTTGAGACAAAGTTCTTTGAACAAAAAAAAAATAGCTCTTTTAATTAATTCCTCACTCTTTTAATAAATAATCACTAAATTAATCACACTCTTGCAATATTGTATTTTAATAATAACAACAATGTATTTCAAACTTGTAAAAATTTTTTGTGAAGAGTCAGATTATAAACAATGCTTTAAATGACACACTTAATAATTGTTTAAAAAATTGTTTTTAGGTCATGCGATTAAACGATAATAATATTTGGGAAGAAAATGGACTTATTGCAAATAGACTTAAAAGAAATCTTGAAAAGGATGAACAAATATGTGGTTTTCACCGGTACACGTTTGGTATTGCATGGAGTCCTCCAAAAACATGCTTTCATCCTCACCATCTAAATATAAAAGGAAAAAAATCTCCCGCTTTAAGGGCGTCACCAATACATGTCGTCATATCAATGTCAAAGCGATACAATGAAGTATTTTCAGTTGGTGCAATGCTGTGTTTTACCCATTTAAAGCAAGAAACTGCTTTATCTAGAGTCAACGAAAACACCAATTTATGTACAGAAACACAAGCACAACAAGAACAAACATATGTGACACCTGCTACTCCAGATGAAGAATTTGATCCCGGTGAAATTAATGTTTTACAGGAGATTTTGGACGAATCTCTAAGAAGCCGTGAGAGTGTAACTGAGGTTCTTAATGCAAGTCCAATAAAATTTAGATTAAAAAAGAAGTTCGAATATCTGGAAGATACTACTAAAGATAAGTTAAAACGCAAGTATGTTCGCCTAGAAAACTTATTAAAGAAAAAATTTGCGGAAGCTGTTGCTCCTGGACAAGAGGAAATACTTATAGATTTTCTTAACAGTAAAAATGTTGATGAAATAAATAGCCCTCTCCCAATTGAAATTATTCGTGCTCAGAAAGTATATAAGCAAAGTGATTCCATGGGAAAGTTAGTTATCCTCTCATTATTAGACCATACCAAGTATACCAAAAAATTTATAATGAACACATTTGAGTGTACCAAACATCGTATAGAAACAGCAAGAAAATGGCATGCATCTCATAAAGGATTGGCATTTCCAGAGAAGAAAGTATTCGTCCGATCTAGTCTTGATCAAACAAAGTGTGAACATTTCTTAGACTTTATATTTACGAGCGGTATTTTGCATTATGTTGCTTATGAAGTAACCAAATTAAAATACGACAGCGGTGAAGAACAAAAGATAGTGCATGCAATACTGACGACAAAATATAGCCACGCGATCATGTTCTATCGAAAAAGTTGTAGTGAAAACAATTATATACTATTATCTGATTCAAGTTTGTGGAAAGTATTGCATGCAATAAAAACTTCAAGTCGAAAAAGCTTAGCTGGATTAGATGATGTTACTGCTTCAGACATGAATGGTTTTCAAACATTACAAAAATTGGCACAAAGATTTAGTTCTAAATCTCTCGAAGCTGCCCTTGAAAAAGGAAAAAGGTATTTGAAAACAAGTTATCAAACCAATTGTAGTGTCAATGACTCAAACATTTCTTCTCATAGCTCAAAACATGCCTTATCAGATCCATCTGAAAAAAATCTTCAATCCAACGCAGAGATATCAGAAGTGGTATGTGCCGATTGCTATGATTTTTGCAAAGCTATCGAGATGATCAAAGAACTAACAATTCAAAATTCTGACGATGCTGATTCTATTTATGATTTGGAAATTGCTGTAAAGGATGTATTCAACTACATAAAACACCTGATGAGAGATTCTCAACAGAAAAAGGCAAAAATCGAAACTTTTAAGCAATCAAAGATGAAACTGCTTTCTGGCTTAAAGATTTTTGTCAAAAAATTCTTCCGGTTCGATACAGAGAGGGCCAAAGAGAGTACTTTGGCAAGTAAGGAATGAGTTTACATGTGGATATATTCTTCATAAAAATAGCAGGGAAGTTATTCAAACGTGTTTACTTTACTTCAATGTATAGGTGTGATCAGGGAATAGATGATGTTGTTTCGTTAGCCACTGCAGTTTTAGACCAATTCAGAATTGATCAACCGCATATCAAAAAAATGTTTACCAAATCTGATAATGCCGGCTGCTATCAGGGAAATCTTTCAGCTGAAGCAATCTACAATGTATGCAAAGAGAGAGATATAAAGTTGCTGAGATATGATTATAATGAACCCTGTTGTGGAAAAGATCAATGTGACAGGGAGAGTGCAGTTGTAAAGACAATTTTAAGGAGTTACGTTGACTCTGGTAATAATCTTTTGACTGCTGAAGATATACACAAGGCTATGCATTATAGTTTTAGCGCTAAAGATGCAAAAGTAGCAGTTGCTCAAATTAGCAATGATAAAACTGTAGTTACTGGACCAAAGATTAAAAACATTAGCAACTATCACTCATTTGAGTTTGGTGAGAAAAGTATGAAGATGTGGCGTTATTTCAATATCGGTGAGGGAATTGAACAAGAGTATGGAAATCTTAAAATTCAACCCTCGATTAAGTTGTTGTTGCCATATAACAAAACAGATAATTCAATTAAGCGTAACAAGTCACTTAAGGAAAAACAGAAAAGAAGTGACAGGCAATTATATTCATTAAGATTTTGCACTGAAATGAATTGTACTTTATCATTTGAAAGCGATGCTGAGTTAGACGAACACATGCTATCCGGTCTTCTTACAGTTCCGAAATCATTACCATCATTGGATAAAGTTCGCAACTCGTTTGTTCATAAGATGAAAATTACTTCACAACTAAATATGCCAATTTCTTCATCCTCTAACAGTGCTTCCGTAAAAGACAAACTACATTGCATGAACATTTTTCTATTGCAAGGTTGGGCATTACCAGTTCGAAGTTCTTTTAGATTTTCAAATCAGCAGAAAGAACTGTTGTATAAATACTTTATTCGTGGAGAAGAATCAGGTAATAAAATGAGCCCTGAGCAGGTTCACATGCAGCTGAGGAGAGAACTTCCGCCTGATCAATATGTAACTAGCCAACAGATAAGATCTTTATTTTTAAGGTAGGCATTGTTGCTATCAAAACTTTTGAAAATTAGATTATGTTTCTGACTGTTAAATAGTTCTTTTACAAATATGAAATTAAAATTTAGGTGAAAGTTATAATTTTGTGTGTTTGTTTACATATGTTTAAAAATATGTACAATTGATATTGTTATAGATTTAGTAACCTGAAAAGAAAAGGTAAGCTGGTAGAACCGACAACAGAAAATAATGAAAATAGTCAGGTTAACGATAAAAAAGAAGTTTATGGCGAAAATGATGACTTTAATCTGACAGGAGACAATGAAGATGATAATAAATATGAGGAAGACATCGCCAATCTTGCAAAAAAAATTTGTCTTGTATGGAAAGTGAATGATTGGGTTGCTGTTGCTTATGAAAAACAATGGAATATTGGATATATTGTGGAGGTAATATTATTCAAAGTATATATTAGTTTCAAGTTTTTATTTTGTTTTACAAAACAGTGCTCTAAAATAAAAGGAATATAAATAAAATGTAAAAATAATTTCAGAATGACATTATATAAGACTTTACAAGTTTTATTGAATGTAAGCAAAATTAAACAAATCATAAACTCTTTATTATATTATTTTAAATGTTGCGCTAATACTTTTAGGTATCTATAACTGGGATCAGAGTTAATTGTATGATTAACGGGCAAGAGAAGAATACTTTTCGCTGGCCAGTTACTACCGAGGAGATAAATAACCAAACTGATAAAATTATCTGTTTAGTAAATGCTCCTTTTCTAATCAGTGGTTGTGGCGATTATTCATTATCCGAAGAAGACTATAATACAGTCATATCATTATTCTTACTGCAGCAGAGTAGAAATTATGTGTGATGTGGTGGATAATGTGTGTAAATGACTCTATTAATAAATGAAAAACTAATTTTTAAATGGAAAAATATTTAAATGTTTGATTTATGTTTTATTTAATTAGCAATATAGTTATCTTGATGTTAGATTTTTGTTCAGTTATCAATTCATGTTATATCATGCGTGTGACAAAATCACACAAATTTTTTTTATTATTATGTGGACCTTTTTGTATTGACAGTTGGATATGTTTACATTTTTACAAAATTAAGCGCCTCTGCCGTAATAGCTCATTTTGTAAGCATACTAAAACATTTTTTTCCAATTTCAAGCCTTAATATATTAATAGGCCATAGGTATCACATAACTTTCTTTGCATTTTTAGACTCAACACCTTTGATAATTTCAAATCCTAAAAGAAAAATTGTGTGCAACACTTCGCCGCTAGAATTAACTCCGATTAAAAATTGACAAAACTGATTGATTTTGTACTTTTGAACTATGATAATTAGCCAACCGCACAGTGTCACGCAACTTTTTTATATTTTTTGGAGAGAGCTTTTGGGTTACGTCTGATATTAACTACAAAAGCTATGTGCAACTTTTTGCCTTGCCAAAAAAATGGGTTCAAAGGTGGCAAAAACTAAATTTCTAAAAATTTTTAAAAAAATCTCAAAAATTTAAGCCCAGATTCCGAGTGAAAGAAACATTTTTGAAATTTTTTTTTTTCCCCAACAGGTTTTCTCTATATTCTGATCAATATATAAAAAACTCAAGCAATTTAAACGAGGTCACTTCCACAGTTTCAGGAATTTGCCTGATTCTTACAAAAAACGGCTCTTAACTTTAAGGTGGTTCCCATAGAAAGAAAAAAAAAAACAAATCTTTCATTAAACTTATTATATCATATTTTTTTGGTTCTTTATGTTTAATAGACTAAAACTAAACCTTTAATAAAAAACAAAAATCAAAAAAAAGTTCTTCTTTAATACAATATTTGCCTAAATTTGATGCAATTTAGGTATACCTTCTAAATCAAATAAATTAGGAACTATTCACCAAAAACAAACTTTAAATTTGGCCCAAATATTCATTGTTAATTAGCAAAAAAACATTCACCAAAATTATTGAAACACCTTATATTATATACACCAAAGTTAATAAAATGTTTTATATATCTATCAATATTTTTAAATGCCCGTATTGTAATGACAATAGTTTTTAGATCATATATCAGGGAGTTCTTTCTCGTTTGGCGTCATAATTTCTGAAAATACAATTTTTGAACCTTGACTTTGGTGAATGACATTTCAGTTCAATAAAAATTTCAGAGCTAAAACACAATTACTTTATGAAATATAAAGTTTAAAGTTGAGGCAAAAGTCAGAAAAATACATCTTTGATAAAAACGCAAAACAAAAAAAAATATTGATAAAAACCATAATTTAAACTTTAAAATTCAACTGGAAGATAACCCAGCGGGCATTTGTTTTCAAATGTTACGTTCTAAATGTATTTTAAATGTCTTTAAAACGTTTTCTAAACATTCTTCGGTAAAGAACGTTTAAAAGACGTTTAAAAAACGTTTAAAACGTTTAGAACGTTTAAAACGTTTGAAAGACGTTTAAAAAACGTTTAATCGACATTTAGAACGTAAATTTTAGAAACGTTAAAAACGTTTAGAACGTTTAAAAAACGTTTAAACTAGGGAGTTTAGGCAATATTTAGAGCAAATGTAAATATTTTTTATATTAAATGCATTATATTCCTTATTATATTTCATTTTCAAAATGGTTTTAAAAACCTCTGTAGCTTGTTTAGTTTTAAAGATATACGTGTTTAAATATTTTCAATTCTTTGACTTTTTATGAACTATTTTTTTAAAGTATCTCGTTAAATTTTTGGCACCCAAAAAAAAACTTTTTTATGTTTTTTTTTCTTGCGTAAAAAGTTGCGTAAAGTAACTCATAATAAAATTTTATTAGAAATTAAATTGTAAATCCAAACTGAACAAAATTGAACAATTCATAAGTAGAATTTTTTGGTGGGTTAACGCAGACGCACCATGAAATAGTCAATTAACAGTATAATATGTTTGAATATGTTTTAAATTTTTTTGTACAAAATAAATTTTCAAATGTTTTAATTTATAATACGTTAAGCGTAACAAAACTTTGATGATAAATGTTAACTTAAATTATTTTTATTAAAATAAATTAATTTTATTTTTATAAATAAATATCAAATGAACAACGTGGACCCAAATAAAACAGGCCGAAAACGTCAAAATACGTACAAAATAAACCTAAATCTAAAATTTATTTTTACACAAATAAAAAAGATTTTAGTCAACGACTTGTTAATAATTTCAGTATTATTATAAATTCAAAAAGAGATTTAACCGCTTATAGTCTACTGTTTTGACTAATTTATTGTTTTCAGTATCTACGATAATATTAAAAAACTTTTTTTAAATGGGGTTAGGGCTTCTAACTTTTTTGAAAATTTTGAAAACAATGAATGAAAAATTCGTTGAATTGTTCTATTTTATTGTGTTTGGCTTTATTTGATTGTATACTCTTGAGTCCATAATTGAAGGGAGGGGGGGCGTTTATTAATTTTTGAGAAACTTTTCCACCCACCCTAAGCTTATTAAGACCCCCCTCCCGTTTATTAATTTTTACTTGTTATTAACAAAAAAATGATACCTAAAAACAAAAAAAAAATCAGTGAAAATCAGCGTTAAAAATTAAAAAATATATACTAGAGACTAATAATAAGTAATAAAATAAGTCATAAAACTTTCAGTGTAAATTCTGCCCCCTCCCCCCGTTTATTAAGTCTTGACTAAACTCCTCAACCCCACCCACACTTTTATTACCCCCTCCCTCTTGTATTAGGAAATTGAGAGTACATAGATTAACAGATATAGAATTAACATAGATTAACAGTCATGGAAATAAACAGTCATAATAACATAGATTAACAGTCATGGAAATACTTGTACGGATTATCTTATCTATCTATTTGTCTTAAATTTTTTGATAGATGTCTTAAATCGTTTTTTCTTCGAAATAAATTATCGCGCTATTAATGTACCCAAGTTTGACTATGTTGCAAATTATTTGAACACAGAAATTTCAATTTTTTAAATTCATTCAAAACTTTGCAAACATCATAACTGTAAATTTACTGAAAAAATATTTTAATTATCGAATTGCAAGAGTAGGCAATGTGTGTATTGTCAACAAACAATTTTATACATAATTTGCCTTGGCTATTCCGTTCATAAATTAGACAAAATTGTCTAACTTACTTAACGAAGGGCACCAACGAGAAGGTAAGCCATAGAACTTTGCACTCCATCAGTGAGTTGTCATGTTGCCTAAGGTTAGCCCTCCATTTCTGGATTCTTTCTTTTACTTGATAAGTAAAAGTAATAGTATTTTTGCATAAGCTTTTTTTTTTTTTTTTTTTTTTAATAATAATAATGTGCAGTTAAGCTGCAAATAAACAACAACAAATAAACAAAATTGGTACAGATAAACATATCAGATATGATTCATACTATTTATAAAGATAAAAACCACAGAACTCAAATTCAGTAAAAACACTTTATTGGAACATAACAATAAAAAAATAAGATTAATATATACTGTAACATTATTCTAAATTTACATTAAATAAAATTACCTTGCAATCCTAGCTACAAAGAATAAAATCACCTTTTTCAAAATCAATTAATAAAGGAAATGACCATACTTCATCAGGTTCGTTATCATACTTAACAAGGTATGTACTTCGTCTACAGTTTAATTGATCAATTTGAACCATTTGCGCATGTTCCCAAGATACTTCATGAGCTTCTTCTCTTATACGATGTTGTATAAAAAAACCAACAAAATCAGATGGATTGTTAATAAATTTTGATAAGGAGTGCTTTTTTTGTTTCTCTATTAATTTGTTTAGTCTTGCATCCTGAATTTTTTCCATTAATTCTTTTTTTTTGTTTTCAACTGCTGCATCACGTATTGTACGAGGCTTTAAATTATTACTTATATTAGTTAAAGATTGTTTGTTTGGTGTTAAATTTGCTTGAATAACAATAAGAAGATTTTGATATAGTTCCTCTGAAGAAAAGTTTATTCTTTTGCTTCCTTCTACCTTTGTTTTACAAAAAAGTTTTTTGTCACAATTGACATCTAAGATTATGCGATAAAAACTAAGTTGAGCAAGGAGTACTTTTTATTTCAATGGCTCTTCTATATGAGAAACTGCTTCCTCTGCTTCCTCGAATGATATCCATGCCCTTACATTTAAATTTATCAAATCATTACAAGCTGCAATATTTTTATGTTGTAGTTTAATTTCTTCTTGAATTTTTTCTTCTTGCTTTGCTAGAAGGTGCATAGCTTTATATTTTTTAAGAGCTTCTTTTCTTTCATCATATTTGCTTTTCATTAATATTACTTTAGTTTTTTCCCTTCTTCAAGTAATTATTTTCTTTCTTTATCTGTTTTACCATTAAGCCATTCTAATGTTTGGTTCTGAGACCACATTGTCAAAGCCTGGATAGTTTGAACATTTGCATTGGGTTTTGTGCGAACCATTAAATCAAAAATGGCAAAGTCACCTTCTGATGCTTTGTTAGTGACAGAGACATTAGAAGCAGCTTCAGAAACTGAGTTAGATGGATTCTAATATTTACCACCTGGTAACTGATCAGCACGCTGACGTTCCGAAGTAACAAGAATTGCATGGAAAATAATTTCAAGTGATTGCACAGTTAAAGAATCAAACTCATCATTTTGAGTGCATTCAAACAGTTTGGTGTAAACCACATCTTGATGAAGAAGATTAGTATCCTCAAAAATTTTTCCAATAGCAAATAATAAAGAAGATGCATCCATACAAAGAGATGAAAGTCTAATTTTTAAGCGAAGTAGGTAGGGGTTTAAAAATAAAATACTATCAAGTGATTCGATAGTTTGCAGTAG